TCGGATGTTATCGAAACCAGAGATCTCGTGGAACGCGGAATTATTTGTGGGGAAAGGGAGCAAATGTAGGTTCAGTAATGTTGGATAAATATCTTACAAGGTGTAAAATAACAGTCTAGACCGCCTGTATATTAGCTGATAAGAATTTTATTTAATAGTGATCTCACTCGAAGCGATTTACTGGTCTCTCATCAACGTATTCGAGAAATGCCTATCGATCAGCAAGTGAAAGCACAACTTTTTAAAGGTTTGTGCTTTTTTTTGTCTCATCTTTCGAAAATTCAAATTATGTTATTTTTGTACCTTTGAAGAGCCCGAACTTGTTTCCGAATGTAAATAATTTTGCTTGGTTCAGCGCGGGTCGTTGCAACGGATGATATAGCTAGATTGGTTCCGTCCATAAGTCGCAACGAGCTTTTCGAGTATCTCCAACAGTGTGCCCATTTAGTTCAAGGTCGGACTTTCTTCATTTTCGTAGCCGTCTCTTGGTATTATTTTTTGAATTTTTTGCAAGCTTTTAGGTGTTTGGGTTTTCCAGTCAGAGTTTTTATACCATGATCTCACCGCTGCGCACTCCATTACACCAGGAAAGGTATGTTTACTCTTGCAAATATGTTATTTAATTATTTGGCGGCAGCACGCCTTTTTGCGTCTTTGACATGCTTTTTTTTGTCTCATCTTTCAAATTTTCAAACTATGTTATGTTTTGTGCCTTGGAAGAGGTCGAACTTGTACCCGAGTGTGAATAATTTGATTCATTTAGCACGGGTCGTTGCAACGGACGATATAGCCAGATTGGTTCCGTCCATAAGTCGCAACGAGCTTTTCGAGTATCTCCAACAGTGTGCCCATTTAGTTCAAGGTCGGACTTTCTTCATTTTCGTAGCCGTATGTGTCTCTCTTGGTATTATTATTTTTGAATTTTTTGCAAGCTTTCAGGTGTTTGGGTTTTCCAGTCAGAGTTTTTATATCATGATCTCACCGCTGCGCACTCCATTACACCAGGGAAGGTAGGTATACTTTTGCAAATATGCTTTTTTAACCCTTTGACGGCAGCGCGCCTTTTTGCATGTTTGGCGAGTGGGACGAGCGCAGAATTTTTTACCCTCACTATTGAAGCGAACGCGCTCTCTTTATCGCTTCTTTTTCCCAATATTGACACTTTATTTTCTCCCGCTTTTCCGTGTTTCCCTCTTAGCTTCCAATCGTTTTATTAAAAGGTTTCCTGCTTCCACCTATTTTAGCTTCACGCATAATAAGGGGGTTTGAAATGGCTCAGCTCAAAGTGCACGACTAAGTGTCTCAAAAGAGTAGTGGTCGAAGTTATGAGTACAGATTGTTATGTGGGTAGCGTAGAAGGCGTAGACTGAATTTCTAGTGTGATGAATTATTATGGGCTCCAGTTTTCCGGTTTACTTTTGTAAAAGTAAGTCTTGCTTCCAGATTGAGTGCCAGGACCTTCCGTACAATAACTATTTCCGAAAGATAAGAATTTCTTCTCTGGTCATTCAAACAAAAAGCTCGCAAAAAATGGAATATAAAGGAAAACAGCCGATTGAGAGTGTGCCTCTCATGTCGTCTAACTCTAAAAGGGCTAACTATCCTGTTCAGAGGTTCTCAGTCACCAATAATTTGCACATTTCGCTTATTTTGTTTACTGTTTATCATTACCAGCATGTTTTATTATTCACTCGTGATTGTGGAATTGTAAAGCTGGTCAGGTCAACTCTGTGAATTTTTTTCTCTGACATATAGTTTAAGCTGGATGAACATCGCGCCGATATGTGGCGATGTGCCCGTGATCTCGCGTTATGCCTTCTCGATGCAGGACGAACCGTCACTCGGTCTCTGCTTACAAGGTAAAATCAGCTGGATACCTACAAAAGCCTAATTTTACGAGGTTCAGCAACTCTATTTTCGTCAGCACTCAACCTGTCTACACTACTGCTTTTTCTTTTATCGGAGCCAGTTCTTTTTTTTATAGAACTTTCTGTCAAGATTCTATAAAACTTTTCAGCCGTGAGCGTGTGAGCTTCTTCATTGATTTTTGTTTGCAGATGTTTTCAAATAAATTCGAGAGATGCTGAAGAAATCCTGTCATCATTTGCAGTACCTGGAAATAGATCTTGGAAGTTACGAATTACTCCGGATCCACTTTTCTTGGAAAGGTAATCGCTTTGCTGTTAGTTTGACTCTTCAGTCTCATGATCTCATGTGCCTATAGTTTCTTGCGAGAAAATTTACTCTTCTGAAACGTAGTGCACAATGGTCAGTGATAATTGTCACGATTACGAAATTTACAGCGTCACCACTTTTTCACACTTTTGCTTTCTCCTACCTAAAGCCACATATTAACGTATTAACACAGTTCACAGGTCCCAAAAACGCCTGTATTTTTCTTTATCACCGCCCCTAAGGCTTTATGTAGTCTTAGATGCAAGTTCTATTCGATTCATTTGGAAAAGGGTGTGGTTCATGGAGACTGTAATATCTTTTTGGCTCAAATAGCGTGAAAAGATATTACAGTCTTCATGATTACGATCACCAATCTTTTTCGAATAAATCATATTACAAGAGATTGTTTTTAGTAACGATAGAATTTTATGATTGGTGAGGACCCATACCTACAAGACAGGCCATCGCAAAGTTGTGCACAACTGCGGTTGTCGTAGCTGAGCAGCGTTAATAGAAAAAAGTGTCTGCTGTGTTTGGAAAGTGTGTAAGTTTAATGGTGTGTATCATCTAACGGTATTTAGTCCCGAAAACGCGAAAATAGTGCTGGAGGAACGTCGTTACTGGACGGAGAGATGGGCGGAAATTCAGCTTCGTATAGATACCACAATGTCCTTACAAGGTCCTGCACGATCACACAAAAACAGCTCTCACAGTAGTTCTTCAAAAAGTCCCACGCGGGCTCGGCGAAACAGTCATCGAACAAGTCCTACAAAGCACCCTCTTTGAAGATTTCCAAATTGTTGGTTATGAATTGCTAAAAATCATGTTAAAAGCTGTGATACATTTTTCAATATGATTTCTCGGGAGTGGTGTTGTTCTCAATTTCAGTTCTCTCTTTGCTAGATGTGCCTTACAAAGCAACACAGTTTTCATCTCTTTTAATTTATTCCGCCTTATGTTGTACGTTTTCAATTTTGTGAAACTCCGTAATGGATGATTAGTTGAGATTTGTTGTTTTTGTTGAAATTTTCTATTGTTGTTACCTGTTGCTTGAGGCGCTGTTTGCGCTCAAATGGATGAATTTTATTTCTCCTGACATTAAATTGATAACGGTTGTCGAGATGGAGGGCATAAAGGAACGAGAATTTTCTAAAGATTTCCATCTTGGAAGTTATGGATTGCTCCAAAAATCGAGATGGGTGTAGATTTGAAGCTTACCGCGGCTACATGGAGTTCATTCAGTAAGCTGTATACTTATCGTTCATTCGCGAAGCCCATGGTGGATGTTCATACTCTGCGTCAGTCGCGAGCGATGAGCGACGGTGGAATGCGTCGCTAGGTATGTAGTGTGATCGTTGACTCACGACGTTCAGGCTAGGATCTCAATCTTGATATAGTTCAAGTGTTACAATGTTTTATAGGGTGCTTCCTTGCTTTTTCAAATATCGATCACTTGGTAGGTCAATCGACCACAACGTTCCCTACGCGTTGGATGTCGCTTTTCGCTCATCGGCCAGATAAGGAAGTATGAATGAAGCCACTCGATATTTGCACCTGTAAATCTGAGGTCGTTATCCTTTCCTTTTTTGAAAGGAGCAACAAATGCAGGTAATAG